ATTCATTGGTAAGTCACAGGTAGCTCAACTTTCCTTACACAGCTTTCAGGCTATCTTTGAATTTCGAATTTCATCTTGATATTATCTTGGAATTCTGCCTTTCCAAAATAAAGTATCTTTGAAAGACGTCTTTCCAAGATAACGTATCTTGGAAAGACGTCTTTCCAAGATAATTTATCTTGGAATTCCGTCTTTCCAAGATACGTTATCTTGGAATTCCGTCTTTCCAAGATAAATTATCCTGGAATTCCTTCTTTCTAGGATAAATTATTTTGGAAAGACGGAATTCCAAGTTAAATTATCTTGGACAGACGTCTTTCCAAGATACATTATCTTGGAATTCCGTCTTTCCGAAATAAAATATCTCGGAAAGATGTCTTAATAAAGTATTTATTCCATGTTTCCAAGATAATTATCTTGGAAACTCGGAAACGCGGATGGTCACTTTAAGCTTCCGTAAAAATGGCCACCGGGCGCGGGCAGCGGTTTATCATTTCCTAAATCGTTTGTTTTTTTTTTGTTTTTTTTTTTGTTTTGTTTTTTGGTTTTTTTTTCACATCCATGACAAATTATTTTGTTAATTTAAAGTGTTATTTATTATTATTTGTTTTTTTTTCTTTCCCGTTTTTGACTTTCATGACATAAATTGTTTAGCCTCATAATATCTGTATTTTAAAGTTTTAATTATTAAAATGTTCTCTGGTTTTATATTGTATTATAATCTTTCTTACTATTGAATTTGTATGTTATCTTTAATTTGTAACAGTAACAGCGGCAGCAGCAGCAGCAACAACAAAGATTGGGGGAACACAATATAATATACAATATAAAACCAGTGAACATTTAAATAATTAAAACCTTAAAATACAGATATTATGAGGCTAAACAATTTATGTCATGAAAATAAAAAAACGGGAAAGAAAAAAAAAATAAATAAATAACACTTTAAAATAACAAAATAATTCGTCATGGATGTGTAAAAAAAAAACCCCCAAAAAAAACAAACGATTCAGAAAATTATAAACTGCTGCCCACGCCCGATGGCGCTTCAGTCTTGGCATTCATTTTTGCCATTTTGGTCTTTGCCTATTGCCGTTTCAATGGACATTCATTGCTGTTTTGGTCTGTTGCCGTTTTGGTTCTTATCATTGCCGTTTTGGTTTATTGCCGTTTTGGTCATTGCCATTTTGGTCACTGCCGTTTTTTATTTTTTGCCGTTTTGTCCAGAAACCAGGCAGTTACTTCAACTACTAGAGGGGCCTAGCCTAGCTAACTCTGCTCGGGAGGCTAGGCTTAGCCGCGCTGAGGTGCAGTATGGAGAATCCATCCGTTTCGGCTGCAAACCATCCTAAGCATGGTAGTGGCTATCGGCACTGCCGCAGGGTAAAAAAAAAGTTGCTGTTTTCTATCAGCACTGCCACAGTGCGAAAAAGTTGTTGTTTTCTATCGGCACTGCCCAGGGAATTGATGTTTTTATTGATAAATGACATGGTATCATTGATTAGGTCTAGGCCTAGCCTA